GACGGTTTTGGCGCTTTGATTCTTGCGCCGATTTGAAACCCGCCGCCTCGATTCTGGCGCCACCCAACCTTATAAATAGATGAAGGGTTCGATTTTTTGAAAAACTTTAGCCACTCTCTCTTGATAACTCTTCAGTCTTCTTCATTTGCTCTTACACCTTCTTGTTTCCATTCCTGGCTGGAAGCTTCGTCTTTTTAACTCCCTTTGTGTAGCTACTCCTTTTAAACGAAATCATGCCAAGGTCTCGTCGTACTAATAAAGAGGTTCCTGAGGTTGCCCCGTCAACCACATCGCCTCTTTCCGACAGCGGAGAGGTGAAGATAGAAGAAGGTGATAGTCCTCTTACAGTGGAAGCGCTACTACCGAGGCAACCCCTATCCCAGAGTGACTTCCTCAAAGATCTGCCCCCTACTCCGAACCCCGTAATTTCTGAGACAAATCAGGCTCACCTTGATGCCCTCCGCATAAAGTATAGTATTCCTGCCCACGTGGAGATGATTCTGGTGGGGGAGGATTACGTTGACGTCCATAGGCCTGGGTACTGTGCCTTCTACGGATATCCTTTTGTGATCAGCTACACCCTTCCTCTCTTCCCTCTAGCGGAAGAATTCAGCAGATTTTACCATGTTTGCCCGCCTTAGCTTTTGTCGTACACGCTCAAGGTGCTTCTGCTACTGACTAAGTATGCAGAGTTGGCATAATGTGACGTCTCCATCCATCATATTTTGCACTTATTCACGCCTGGTTTCCTCAGTGGTAACATGGTGCATTTGAGGCTTCGTGGTACAAAAGGGCTGGTGGTCGGGACGGATGACCAGGCGAGCCGTAAGTTTTGGCATAAGTACTTCTTTATCAAGACCGAACACGTCGTTTCTGACCCCGCCGAATTTCTGGTGCGATGGAACAGAACTCGTAAGCACCGTCGTTCATTATGTCCCCCTGTTTTCTATAATTATTGTAACTTTTGCTCACTCGTCATTTTGCAGCTATGGAATGCCCGCCTCGTCCCATTGCGGGTCTCAAGAACTGGGTAGCTCACCTGTTGCCCCATGCAGAGGGAACTCGGACTTGTCTGCCTTCGTAAAACGTTATGAACCTAGGGTTTCCTTAGGTAAACGTTTGCTCTATTACCTCATAGGCCATGCGACCCTGCTTAATTGTATGACCCTTTGTGATGTTAGGTCGGGGAGCTTCTAGGCGGAGGGCGCCAGTTCCTTCTTTTAGATAAGCCATTGCTACTGCAGACACGCGATTCATTTTGTGCGAGTCTGTTCGGGAAGGTCGTCCTCAACTTCCTCAATAGGGGGATTTGTCTCGAACCGTGGCCACGAGGGAAGACGCCTCGTTGGCACCAGCCTCACATCCTGTTGATGAATCATCTAACGGTGACGAGCCGTTAGAGAGGAAAATGAGAAGGTTGGAGGTGGGAAAGGGTGTGTAGTGATGTCGACGGAAGCGAAGCATCCCGGACTGCCCCGGTGCCCGTATTCATGGCCGACGCCATTTTGTCGGGGAGGTCTCCCCGAATGGAAGGAGTTGGCCCGGGAGTCGGTTCAATGTGCTCCGTTGAAGGTAGTGCGTCATCCAATGTTGGAGGACCTCGTGTCGAAGGTGACGGCTCGGGTTCGGATATCACCCCGGAGGATGTCGGTGAATTATTGGGTTGCCATACCCATATGGAGGTGAGGATAGACGGGTCTGACCGTCATGTGGTAATCCTAGGGAGCTATAACTTGCTGCTGAACAGCGAGCAAGTTGCATCGACCCTTGCTCCTCTATGTGCCGCTCCTAAAAGCGAGACACTTGGAGCGATGAGCGACGTGAAGTTATCTCAGAAGGTCGCCGGTATGGCTCTGCAGGTAGGTTCCATTTTCTTCTTTTTTTTATCGTGGAGTTAGTGTGACAATCTGCGTTGTGTATTTTGTTTTCTAACTCTGCCATTCTCCTTTGTCAGACCTTCGTCCTGGAGGTGGAGAGAGAGCGTTATGAACGGAAAAGAATGGGCCTCTATAAGAAGATGTCATCGAAGTATCATCAGTACCGTGCTAAACATCGGGCGATGTCTGACATCTATCATCAGGATCCCGAACTCCAGGTGTTTCGCGAGGGACTTAAGCAGCGGGAGGACCAATTGGAGCGTAGGATAGAGGAGCTGAAGGAGAGGGACGAGGAGCTTATGAGGGCTATCACCCGTAATAGCGAACTGGAGACCTTCCTTAAGGCGAAGGAGGACGAGCTCGAGTTTAGCAAGGGGGTAACGGCTAAGAACGCTGACTTACAGCTGAAGGTGGCCGGCTTGACTGCCGAGTTAAATGTTAAGGCAGCGGAGGTCGACGGGCTCAAGGGCGAGCTGAACGCCAGCACTGATAAGTTGGCAACCACTATTTTTGAGTCGGTATTATTGGAGGATGCCCTCCGCATTTCCAAGTCAGAACTTACTGGGGAGAGAAAAGCCTCCGGTCGTCAAATCACAGGGCTTGAAGGGCGTGTTAGGGAGCTGGAGACGGAGTTGGTCGCATTGCGAGGGCAAATGGCTTCGCTGAGGACGGAGGAGGAAAATCGACATTCTCAGCCTTCCACGTCTCGTGCCTCAGCCGATCATGGCTTGCCTCGTCGCTTGTATGAGTTGTGGGTCCATATAGAGGCTTGGCTCAATGTGTATAAGGATTTTCATGCCAAGGGCAGGGCAACGGAGGCGGAGGTTCAGACGGTGCATGCCGAAGCACGTGCAACCCGTGAGTCGTGTGGATACGACCCCCTCACTCCTGACGGGGAAGGTGTCAATTCTGATGACGCGAATCACCTTACTTCTGATTCATGGTATGAAGATGCTTACCCCGCTGGGGATGATGTGTAGTTTTGGTTTGTATTTCACTTTTTACTTAGGAATTTTTGGCACGGGCCGTGCTAGGGCCTATTCGTTGGGGCAAATGTAAATGATATTTTGTTACAATCTAAACTTTACTTTTATCGGTTTGTTTGTTTGTCGTTCTCTTTTGTTTATTGCATGACATTCGTGCCTGTGGCTATTGGGATGTTGCTTCGATTATCATCGAAGTAGAATCCCCTCGTGGTTCGACCAAGGTCAAACTAATATTTTCGTTGGTGGCCTTGGCCATTAGGATATTGCTTCGACTATCGTCGAAGTAGTATCTCATCGTGTTTCGAACGAGGTCGAACTAATGTCTGTTGATGGCCTTGGCCATTGGGATGTCGCTTCGATTATCATTGAAGTAGAATCCCTTCATGGTTCGACCGAGGTCGAACTAATATTTTCATCGGTGGCCTTGGCCATTAGGATGTTGCTTTGACTGTCGTCGAAGTAGTAACCCGTCCTGGTTCGAATGAGGTCGAACTAATGTCCGTCGGTGGCCTTGGTCATTGGGATATTGCTTCGACTGTCGTCGAAGTAGTATCCCGTCGTAGTTCGAACGAGGTCGAACTCATATTTTTGTCGATGGCCTTGGCCATTGGGATGTTGCTTCGACTGTAGTCAAAGTAGTATCTCGTCGTAGTTCGAACGAGGTCGAACTCATATTTTTGTCGATTGCCTTGGCCATAAGGATGTTGCTTCGACTGTCGTTGAAGTAGTATCCCAACGTAGTTCGAACGAGGTCGAACTCATATTTTTGTCGATTGCCTTGGCCATAAGGATGTTGTTTTGACTGTCATCGAAGTGGAATCCTGTCGTAGTTCGAATGAGGTCGAACTCATAATTTTGTCGATGGCCTTGGCCATAAGGATGTTGCTTCGACTGTCGTTGAAGTAGTATCCCAACGTAGTTCGAACGAGGTCGAACTCATACTTTTGTCGATGACCTTGGCCATAAGGATGTTACTCCGACTGTCGTCGTAGTATCCCATCATAGTTCGAATGAGGTCGAACTCATATTTTTGTCGATGGCCTTGGCTAAAAGGATGTTGCTTCGACTATTGTCGAAGTAGTATCCCGTCGTAGTTCGAACGAGCTCAAACTTATATTTTTGTAGATGGCCTTGGCCATAAAGATGTTGCTTCGACTATCGTCGAAGTGGGATCCCGTCGTGATTCCCATAGAAAGACGTCACCTGTTGATTAACGGAGACCCGTTCGAACGAGGTCGAACTCATGTTTTGTCGATGGCCTTGTCCATCGGGATGTTGCTTCGAACTGTCGTCGAAGTAGCATCCCGTCGTAGTTCGAACAAGGCCGAACTCATATTTTTGTTGATGGCCTTGGCCATAAGGATGTTGCTTCGACTAACGTCGAAGTACTATCCTGTCGTAGTTCGAACGAGGTCGAACTCATATTTTTGTCGATGGCCTTGGCCATAAGGATGTTGCTTCGACTGTCGTCGAAGTGGAATCCTGTCGTGATTCCTGTAGGAAGACGTCACCTATCGATTAATGGAGACCCGTTCGAATGAGGTCGAACTCATGTTTTGTCGATGGCCTTGGCCATCGGGATGTTGCTTCGAACTGTCGTCGAAGTAGTATCCCGTCGTAGTACGAACGAGGTCGAACTCATATTTTTGTCGACGGCCTTGGCCATAAGGATGTTGCTTCGACTGTCGTCGAAGTAGTATCCCGTCGTAGTTCGAACGAGGTTGAACTCATATTTTTGTCGGTGGCCTTGGCCATAAGGATGTTGCTTCGACTGTCATTGAAGTGGAATCCTATCGTGATTCCCGTAGGAAGTCGTCACCTGTCGATTAATGGAGACCCGTTCGAACGAGGTCGAACTCATGTTTTGTCGATGGCTGTATTCCTATAGGAAGACACCGCTGTAGACATGTGATTTTTGACCCTCCCCAAGATTTTTTATATTTTAGCATGTAAATATTTNTCATTAAGCCTAGGGACCCTTCTAGATTCTTCTTTGGAATAAAAGACAAATAAAGAAGACCCTAAGGACTTAACACAAAAGACTTAGGGACTAATGGGCAAAATACACAAAGATACACCTAAACCTAGACTCTACCTATAAATTAATGCTTAAAAAATCTAAAAGAAGAGAAGAAAATCGGGGCGCAGCTTTTAAAGGAACCCCCCCTGTTAGTCATCTTCTTCAGCCGCTGAACACCCATCGAAGACCCCTCATCTTCAGCTTCTTCTCCACCCGTTTCCCTCACAATAAACGATCCCATCTCCACATAAAAATAGACTCTCTCTTCAACACAAAAGCAGCGGCAGAGAACTAAAGACCTCCCCCCATCGGCGAACCTGCCATCTATGCTCCATTGACACACACCCAGCCAGACCACCTTCAAAATACTACAGTTTCAGTCCAAAATCCAGCTCAAAAATAGCCGAAAATAAATTCAAAATCAGTTGGAGTTCATCTTCGTCGTTTTTGTTTGGTTCAAGTTTTTCCGGTGAGCTTCGAGTCGTCGGAAGTTGCTGTCCAAGTCTCCGTTCAGCTGCAAGTCGAGGTACTGTCGTTGTCGCCGATGAGTTTCCGTTTAACGGTCCCGGCTCCGGTCAGAGGTTCATCCTTGTTTGAATTTTGAAAGAAGCAGTCAAGTAATTGCAAAGGTTCATTCTATCTTATCTCAATATTTTCAGTTTCATTCCGCACTTAAATGCATGGTTTTGTTAAATGTTATGAGTTTGTCACTCTCTGTTGAACATGAGTATTTTATTTGTTGCTTTAAACTTTTAGTTCCTTCAACCTAATATAACCGATTCTTGGTGTTTGTCCGCAAAAATGCCAAGTGATGCACATTGTTTCGTTCTTGATATTTTATAGTGAACTTTCAGGGATACCTCTGGGTAATTAATTTCGGTGGTCATTCTGCAGTTTGATTGTGATATGCCGATCAATATTTTGTGCTCCTTTGGGTCGTTACAAGTTCTGCTTGCATGACTAGCGGAGAGTCTCCAAATTGGAGGAAAACTTAGGATGAATCAAATTGTACAATGAATTTGTCTAAAGGAAATAAATAATAGATGCAGAGTGTATGTATGTTAGCTGAGACAGAATAGTGTCCTATTTTCATGTGTGAAATGCTTTCTTTATTTAGCTGATGTAATAATTAGCAAAATATCGTGATTATCAAATATCTTGCTATGAAATTTTTTGGCATACTCTTAGTTAATCAAATTATTGTGATTGTGTGCACGTTCGCATGACATAATTACGATTCTAAAAATAAAATCGGAGTATGCGTTCACGCAATTTCGGCCAAACTTTCTTAACAAAAATAAAGCATTATTAATTGTGGACACATTCGCGTGACATGATTTTTGACGTGCCAAACAAATGGGTACACGTACGCATGACCCGTTTCAAGATAATTTCCTAATTAAAAGCGGCTAATACACATTGGTTCTAAAATGAGTAATTAAACAATCTGATTAAGCCAAGTATGATCAAAGCGACCGTGCTAAAACTACGGAACTCGAGAGTGCCTAATACCTTCTCCTGGGTTAACAAAATTCCTTACCTGGATTTCTGTGTTCGCAGACCGTAAATAGAGTCGACTTCCTCGATTCGGGATTTTAAACCGGTGAATTGGAACACCATAAATTATCCCAAGTAATGACTCTGAATTTAATACAAATAATCCCGTTTCGATTGTCACTTAAATTGAAAAAACTCCCTTATACCCCTTGAGGTGTATGCAAAAAGGAGGTGTGACAACCGCGCATGTCGACTAGTGGAGATTTGATTCTATACTTACAATGGAGATACGATTCCGTACATATAATGACGATTTGATTCCATACATACAATGGCGATTTTGATTATCTATATGTAGTCCCTTCATTGCTTTGATCCGGAGATCACACTGACGGGTCACGTTAATGAATAGCACGTCGATCCATAAAGTGTTCCCCTCGCCGCCTCGTTAAAAACCTTCCCAGAAAAATCCGATTGGGACAAAACCGGGGTAAAAAAAGAGTACGGCTTAGGTGGCGCCTTCTTTTAGAAGTGGAAGTATTTGAGGTGGGCGATGTTCTAGTTGTTTTGGAGTAGTTTTCCCTCCATTGTTTCTAGATGGAATGCTTCTTTATTGGATGCTTCTACTATCTTATATGGTCCGTCCTAGTTTGTTCCCAATTTTCCTTCATTAGGGTCCTTTAATGCTTGTGTCTTGGCCTTGAGGACGTAGTCGCCAATTTTGAGTGGTCGCACCTTGGCTCTCTTGTTGTAGTATCTCTCTACTTACTGCTTCTGGGCAACCATTCTTACGTGGACCATGTATCTTTCTTCAACTTCATCCAGATCGTGTAGCCTACTTTTGTCGTTGCTTGTTCCACTCTCGTTAGAGTATCTCAAGCTGGCTTCCCCGACTTCGACAGGTATAACTGTGTCGGTCCCATAAGCCAGTTAGTATGGCGTTTCTCCTGTGCTGGATTTCGGTATAGTGCGATATGCCCATAATACTTCAGGTAGTTGTTCAGGCCATAGCCCTTTGGCTTCCTCAAGCTTCTTTTTCAATATGTTCAGTATTACTTTGTTGGAGGATTCAGCTTGGCCATTGGCAACAGGATGATATGGCGTGGAGAGTATTTGTTTGATATGCCACTTTTTGAAAAACTCGATCGTTCTTTTTCCTATGAATTGAGGTCCGTTGTCGCAACTGATTTCCTTGGGGATGACGAAATAGCATATAACATTTTTCCATATGAAGGCGATGACCTCCTGCTCACGTATCTGAGTGTATGCACGTGTTTTCACCCATTTAGAGAAGTAGTCAGTAAAAACCAAAAGGAAGCATACCTTACCTCGTCCTGCTGGGAGGGGGCCGACAATGTACATTCCCCATTTTATCATGGGGGCGTACTATTGACATTGCTCTCATCTTCGGACATAGTCCGCGACTTCTTTTTTCATGGTAGGCCAGTGTCAGACCTCCTTTTTCTGCACCCGAGGGGCGCGAGGGGAGTTTTTTCCAATTAAAGGACAATCGAAACGGGATTTGTTTAATTATTTTAGAGTCGCCACTTGGGAGATTGAGGGTGTCCCAAGTCACCAATTTTAATCCCGAATCGAGGAAA